CGTGCAGATGATAGACTGCTCGTCACCGAGGTCACAATGCGGCGAGGGGGTGGCTGCACCTGGCACGTGCTGTCCTGACCACAGTTTTAGTTGCGGCCCAGTGTCTTGGAGATGAGAAGCCACGCAATTCCGTTTCGGTAACTCGGAAAGATAAGCAATCGGTTTCAATTACGGCTGACATTTCCTGTGCTAACCCCTCCCCACGCGCTGGCTGCCCGGTGTCACGTGTAACGAATGACAAATGCACGTGCTTCCTCGCCACGTGTTTGACATTTTTCATGGAGCTCAGGAGGGAGTCACGTTTTTCTCCACTGCCACCACGAGACCATGAACTACCACCCCGGCACCAGCCCCCACATTCCACCACCACCTCCCCACCACCATTACCCACCAGCACTACCGCAACCGCCAAGACTATCCACCACCCAGCACCACCAACATCATCATCACCACCATCATCACTACCACCATTGACCACCACCAGCCACCAAGGATTACCCACCAGCCATCAACATCATCATCACCATCATCACTACCACCATTAACCACCACCAGCCACCAAGGACTACCCATCAGCCACCAACACCAACATCATCATCACCATCATCACTACCACCATTAACCACCACCAGCCACCAAGGATTACCCACCAGCCACCAACATCAACATCATCATCACCATCATCACTACCACCATTAACCACCACCAGCCACCAAGGACTACCCATCAGCCACCAACACCAACATCATCATCACCATCATCACTACCACCATTAACCACCACCAGCCACCAACACTATTTGGGGTGGTTGACAGGGCCCAACAGTCGCGTGTCAGTCGCTTTTTGTAGAGGTTTATGGTTCGAATCGAGGAAGCCACCATGGTTAATGTTGCGTGTGTATTGTAACTGCAAACATCCTTGCCGTGAGCTTTCCAGTGGACATGAACGATTCCCTGATGATGTGCAAGACGACGAATAAGCCATTATGTGATGGCGTCATGGTCCAGATTTGCCCAGTGTGAAAAACGTGAAACTACTTGCCGGCTAAACTTTGATTTAAAGCTTTCGTGACTGCAGTAATTCATATTCTTAGCTCTTTCGGTAAAGTCACGTTGAAGGGAAACAATAAAATAATAAAATATATAAAACAATAAAAATTCTCACGACGTTTCGACCATCACACAAACGGTCGTCATCAGGTGTGTCGGTCCGCATTATTTTTTTTTTCAAACGCCGTGTTTATTTATTTATTAAAAAACGTCAGCGCCACGCGCATCGATTTGGCAGTTTATTTAGAAGGACTAGTCCATCTATGTTCTGAAAAGAGGAGGGGGGAGACGAAAAATTAATGTATGCTGTCTGAAAGCCACTGTAAGCGTGAACAATCAATTAAGACCTGAAATGGTTAATCAAATATTTCCAATGATTGCTAAGCCAGAATCCATCTTCTCGGTTGAAATTGTCTCTGTGCTTGAAATTGTCTCTGTGCTTGTATATACAAGCACAGAGACAATTTCAACCGAGAAGATGGATTCTGGCTTAGCAATCATTGGAAAGATTTGATTAACCATTTCAGGTCTTAATTGATTGTTCACGCTTACAGTGGCTTTCAGACAGCATACATTAATTTTTCGTCTCCCCCCCTCCTCTTTTCAGAACATAGATGGACTAGTCCTTCTAAATAAACTGCCAAATCTCTGCGCGTGGCGCTGACGTTTTTTAAATAAATAAACACGCCGTTTAAAAATAAATTAATGCAAACCGACACACCTGATGAAGACCGTTTGTGTTATGGTCGAAACGTCGTGAGAATATTTATTGTTTTATATATATTTTATTATTTTATTGTTTCCCTTCAACGTGACTACCGAAAGAGCTAAGAATACTTGCAGGCTATGTCTGCAAGTCATTGCGTCTTTGGGATAGCTTCCAACTGTAAGAATTGGCGCGAATAATCCCTCATTTTTACTATTAATAAATTATTACTAATATCACCACCACCATCATCACTACACCACCACTACCAATAGCCATCACCACCACTTCCCACACTTGTATGTATGTTGAACTTTTTTCGCACCATACGTAACCAACCGCGCTAATCGGTGTCCATTTACAATTATCCCGAATGTAACAGCAGGCTACTTTTCATATCATTTCAACACATTTTACAATCGCTCATCTGAGATCATTTTTACACTGCCTCTTGAAATACCCAATTAAGCGGCGATTAAGTTGGAATTGATTATGAATAAACCACATTATCAGCAGGTGTCCGTACAGGGGCGACTGCCGCGTATCATATGAACACGATGAACACAATGAACACGATGAATACGATGAACACGATGTGTTCATGAAGGTGAGGTCAGAGACACTGAGTGGGCAACCGTGAGACTCGAGTTCGAATTCCAGGTTTTAGCCTGTCCGTGATGAAACTGGGTTCTTTGCCCGGCTGTCATAAGTTGATGTTCTTAGCTCAGTCACAAATGACCAATGACATGTACCCATTATGTCACGTTAGTTTTTGTTCCTAACGAACTTGATTCGGCAGAAGTTTTGCTCCGAGATGTTTGACTGTCACGCGATGAACATTACTCTCTCTCTCTGGCAGGGCGCATGAGAAAATTCGCTCCCTCGTGTGGATCGAACGTCACTTGACGAGATCTCGGATATGGTTTTGTGACATCTGCTTCTGTGGGCCATTCTCTGACGCGACGCTGATGCTCTCTGCACGAGAAGTCGCGAATGGGAGCGATCTCACGGCGCGATACAACACCGATACCACGATGTTTTCGAGTACCCACCACGTGTTACGTGGGTGACGCCCAGGTGTGTGATTGATTGTACGCGGCACGAGATGCAAAGTTCAGACTCAAACGGGTTGAGATATGAGAATAGGTTTTTTCCCCTTTATTTCTGGCAACAAAACAGCTGTGTTGAGATGTTCGAACACCAAATTTAAATCTTTAACAAGGAACCATGTCTGCAGTAACCACAATGCTTGTGGTCAGAATGCAAGCTGTCTCTGGTGTGGACCAATCAGTGTGGTTAATGCAGACGTGATTCCTTGTGAAAGGTTTCAGTTTGGTGTTTTAACAACTCGACACACCTGTTTTGATGCCAGGAAAAAAGGGGGAAACCTAGTCTCATATTTTGGTTATTGGCAAAGGAGGTCCCGTGATGGGTTGAGATATCACTGGCCACTGCTAGTCGAGATCCGTAAATCATATATCTGCGTTCGTTTAGGGAGCCCCCCAATTCCCCAACTGAGACACACGCACACACACACACCTACAAAACGTAAAACAAATACGCGTACAGTCCACAAAGACAAAGATCCCCGGTATAGCCTCAACAGACTGTTGGGGCCAGTGCTGTTAGCGAGTAGCACCTATGACGGCCGGCACGGCACACGACGGGGGTTGGTTTGGGCAGCACCATGGCCGGCCGCCTTTGTCTCACACCACACCAGGCACTCATTTGAGGCTGAGTCGACCTAGCGGAGACCCGGGACCGGTTCAGATAATCGTTACTCGTGTTGGCCCTGATCGGGAATCGAACTCGGCACGCCGCGTTCGTAGCGCAGCGTGGCGCTAACTGCTGCCCTACCGCTGATGATGACTGACGAAATATACGTTTTTTCCCAGTATTTTACCGAAGGAGGAGACTGGCAATGGAGCTGCACACAACGAAGTGAAGACGCCATAAAGAGCGAGCGACTGCAGCGGAGATGGAGCAATGAAATGGGTTCGCGTGGAGCAGCGCGATGGATCGTGGCACCGCGTGGTGAGGGATATGGCGACGGCTGTAGTCATCCAGCGGTGGCTAGATCATGGCTGATGTTGGCCTTGTGCGCTTAAGAATCGGTGATAAGAATCGGTGATTTCCGATTGTTGTAAATTGTTGCGCCGACGTCGTCCTTACGGCTCACGGGACGAGCGAGAAGAGAGCAGACGAGGCAATACAAACGAGACGGACAATATAACCTAGACAAACAATACAAACGAGACGGACAATATAACCTAGACAAACAATACAAACGAGACGGACAATATAACCTAGACAAACAATACAAACGAGACGGACAATATAACCTAGACAAACAATACAAACGAGACGGACAATATAACCTAGACAAACAATACAAACGAGACGGACAATGCGAACGAGAGAGACAACACAATCTAGACAAACAATACAAACGAGACGGACAATGCGAACGAGAGAGACAATGCAACCTAGACAAACAATACAAACGAGACGGATAATGCGAACGAGACAAGCAATACAAACGAGACGGAAAATGCAAACGAGACAGACAATACAACCGAGACAAACGATGTGAACGAGACAGACAATGCGAACGAGACAGTGTCAACGAGACAACCAGTTCAGAGGGGGCAGTCGAAACGGTACGAAAGAATGCCATCGACTCATCCCTCGAATTGCCACCGCGACTTGTGCGACGCTCCACATGGATGTGCAGTGATCAAACTATCCATCATACGCATCACCCATCACACCTGTCAGACTGACACGCGTGACAATGCGCACGTGACAATGCACGCGTGACGCTCGCCCGTTAAAATGATACCCCGCGCGAAACAGACCGCTGGGCTCTTACCCCTGTGCCTCCACACCACGGCGCCGTCGCACGTACGTTTGAAACATCGTTCGAGAATGCAAATAAAAAAATGTTCTCCGGTAATGTTTTATATTATTTAAAACCAAATCAGTTCCATGAGGTCGCTTAGAGCGCCTATCACGATGATGATGTAACCCAGCCCCGATGCATTATCTGGATTTCGTCTTTGTCTTCAGCCCGTGCCAAAAACTCTCTCGTCCTCGCGACCCAACGCCGACGCGTCTTCGCCAATTTACCAATTGCATTTTGTTGTTGTTGTTGTTCTGTTGAAGGTACGGACACATTTCACCGCGAAACGCCGAACGCGCCTGACGATTACGAATTCGTGTTGTGCACGCGAGCGCGCGGGTACCTGATTGGTGTGCGGCACGTCAACTCGACTTGACACTCGACTCCACCAAATTGCAGTCGAAAAAAAATAAAAATAATAATAACGATCTCTACGCTTCCTGCGTGCGCGTGTGCGCGTGTGTGCCTCTCTCTCTCGCGCGCGTCTGTGTTTCAGCCGTGCGAGAAAGCCTCGAAGGGCATAAATAGGTGGTCGCCGATTTACCTAAACACGTGGCCCATGCCCTAAAACTCTGCTCCTCCCCTTCCTCCCCTGAGACCCCCTCCCTCCCCGCTGCCTCGCCATTTCTCACCTCCAGCTCCCTCGTTCTACACATCTGAACCCTCATCATTGACAGCCACCGCGAGTCATATGTCATCTCGCCCTCCCAGCTCTTTTCCTCTCCCCTCCCTCCCTGCCCTCGCAACCCCCCCTCCCTCGTCTCCCACTTCGTCCGTTAATGCGGCGAGGCACACGGAGTGTGCAATTGTACTGCACGGAACAAGAGCGTGTTTACTGAGATGCGTGTGTAAGTGTGCGTCAGCGGAGGGTTCAGATGAAACGACGCTCACAACAACGAGACGGAGCGCCGGGCGGATAAAGTTGCGGAGAGTTGGCGCAGTGGGGAGCACAGTTGGTGCATCTGCCAGCCGTCTCGGTCAGTCGACCCGTGGCACCTGGGCCTGTTTCGTGACCTCCTCCTTTGACACTTCAAGCGTTGCACCTCAAAGTGCACCTAGCATGGCACGATCACTGTGGTAACGTCACCGCTATTGAGTGGTAAATGACGGCTGATGTTTTTGTCGTCCGTGAGTGGCACGTGTGTACACACACACGTGTATGAAACCACGTGTGTGTATGTGTGTGTACACAGGTGTGTGAGGACACACGTCTTTATCAATGTTTCCATTCCGTGGTCTCGTTATTCTTCACCTGTCGAGCCGTGACGACGTGACCTGTCCCGAGCGCACTTAAACAGTTTCAATCATGTAATGAACCCCCTTTGCGCGGTGTAAGAGCCGCATTAGCAGCAGCAGCAGTATGAATGTTGGGGGCTTGGGGGTGGGGGGCCGGTTGATATCACAGGTCAGTGTCACGTGTCTCCCTCCCCTTACGTGCCCTTTAACTCAATGACGTGCCCCAGCCATCGCCTTGCGTGGCCAGTGAGACCACGGGGTCTCTGGCTAAAGTTAGTAACGGACAGTCACCGCCTGCCGAGCGATGTCCTTTTGCTATTATTTACGAGCATTATGGAAAAAAAATATGGGGGAACACAAACAACACGAAAATATTCGTCTATTTAAGCCTTTGTGCCGGCTCGCTATGTGCGACGATCTTTGCTGCGTGGCCCGTGAAAAGTGAGCCACGTTATTTTGGTGATGCTGGCTGCCGCTTTCGCTACTTCGGCAGGTTGGTGCACAAGCCCAATCGTACTGGGTTAGAAGAATAAAGTTTTGCTGGCTGGCTGGCTGGCTCGAGGAAAGGGGACGGACGAAAGGTCACGTCCACGGGACGTTGCGGGCTTGCAAGTTAAAGATGATCATAATAAGCTCAGCGCGCTCACAAGAACACTGCCTTTAGAAGATTATGTGCCAGACACAGCCACATTTGCAACTGCGATTTGAAACTATCTTTGAAATGTCGATGATGTGCTTATGAAGCCCAATGCAATCGACAGTATTTTCTTGAATTATTGTTGTTGGTTTGCTGCTCTGACCAAACTCACCTTTGATGTTGACAAATCTACAATATATGCGTAGCTCTTTCGGTAAAGTCACGTTGAAGGGAAACAATAAAATAATAAAATACATATAAAACAATAAAAATTCTCACGACGTTTCGACCATAACACAAACGGTCGTCATCAGGTGTGAAAAAAACAACCGCAAGAAACATTTGAAAGAAGTGTCGGTTTGCATTTTTTAAAATAAATACACCGTTAATAAATAAATAAATGCAAACCGCCACTTCTTTCAAATGTTTCTTGCCGTTGTTTTTTTCACACCTGATGACGACCGTTTGTGTTATGGTCGAAACGTCGTGAGAATTTTAATTTGTTTATATTTATTTTATTATTTTATTGTTTCCCTTCAATGTGACTTTACCAAAAGAGCTAAGAATATGAATTACTGCAGTCACGAAAGCTTTAAATCAAAATTTTCATCTACAACAATTGTATATACACAGTGGTAGCCCGAACTGCGTCTCCCCATTTTACGTCGTTTCTCAAACGCGTCGTCGCTTTATCATTAACGCCACTACCCTGATGTGCGTCGCCTCAATCCCACACTTACGTCGCTGACAGCATCATCATCATCCCTTCTTTCTCGTATCACGTCGGCTCTTAGCCTTCGCCTCCACCACCACCTACTACCCTGTGAAATCGCTTTGATTGACGTCGTTACCGATATTCGTCGTCGCACCTTTCAGGAACGCACCCCGGATGTACAACGGGGTATTACTGCACTCGTGCGATGCGTGCATCCATGCTATAGCTTCTTTGATGTAGTCTTGACTTGTTTAACCTTTGTCTTACTCTCGTACCCTTTATGCTACTTCTGTTTTGCTGATGTAACTTGCTGACCCCGCCCTGACTGGACATCTGTGAAATAGAACTCCATAGATCATCGGATTTCTCCAGTATAAATAAACATTCTGATGCTTATGTGCGTCTTGTAAGGCAGCCAGTGTACGTATGCTGAACTTCCTTCGCGCCGTACGTAGCCAACCGTGCTAATCATAGTTTTCGGGGGAAGGACAATAAACTAAACACAAAAATTAGTTCTAAATAAATGAGTTTTCAAGTTAGATTTAAAAGTGCATCGCTCCAGTGGCTTTATAATATAGGAAGAGCGTTCCAGGCGGCCACCGAAGCCCATCTGGTACGCGAGTGATGCAGTGGTCGTCTTTGTTGGATGGTTAGTGGCTGTTGGCGAGTGCCTTGAGTTGGTTTGCTCTTTGTGTGGGTTGGATGAGCAAACGTAGCAGTGTTATATGTTTAGATTCAGAGGGACAGGCGTACGTGGCGATCAGACACTAAAGCAATATTTAAACCAAGCATTAGTCGAGATGAGTTCCGTGTTAAATGATATTTTGCTCTTAATTTCGAATTTTTGTTTTACTCTGAAGTGTGCGGTTGAACGTTCCCGAGTGTGAGCAGAGTAAGTTGGCCAGTGCTGCCACCTAGCGGTGGACGAGAGGTCGCTGTTAGGGGTCTCGCGAGTAGTTCGGTCATATCTGCTTCCGCGGACTTCTTTCGCAGCAACGTGGTGTTGTTGCACTGCAAGAGTTCCGAATGGATTCTTTCGTCCCGTGGCAAAACGCCGAGAGCACGAGCTGAGTAAAATTGTGAGCCAGATAACAACAATAAAGTCACGTTGAAGGGAAACAATAACATAATAAAATATATATAAAACAAAATTCTCACGACGTTTCGACTGTAACACAAACAGTCATCATCAGGTATGAAAAAACCAACGACAAGAAGCATTTGAAAGAAGTGGCGGTTCGTATTCATTAATTTATTTTCAAACGTTGTTTGTATTTATTTATAAACGGTGTTTGTGTTTATTTATTTATTTTTAAAAACGTTTGCGCCACGGATAGCGATTTGACAGTTTGTTTAGAAGGACGAGTCCATCTATGTTCGGAAAAGAGGAGGGGGGAGACGAAAATTTAATGTATGCTGATGTGGTCGAAGAATTTGTCTAGAGCAGGCCGGCCATGTGGCCAGATGACAAAAGTGTCATCCACGTACCTTTTCCATAAGGTTGAGCGCAGAGTGGCAGTCTGGATGGCGTCAGTCTCAAATTTCTCCATGAAAATGTTGGTTATAACCGGAGATAGGGGGGAGCCCATTGGGGTGCCCTCAGTTTGTTTGTAGAAAGTTCCATTCCAAGTGAAGTATGTATTGGTTAAGCAGTGTCTCACCAGGGGGGGGGGGGGTACCTCAGTGTTTAGTCCTTGATGATCCAAGTCTTCAATGATTGCGATGGTGTCAGGTACAGGAACTTTGGTGAATAAGGAAACTACATCAAAACTTAGTAATAGGTTTTTACCCTTTTAGCTGGCACAAAAACTGACACCTTTATACAAGGGATCATGTTTGCAATAACCACAACACAAGCAGTAAAAAATGCAAACAAAAAGAAACAACTCTGATAATGATATGCACTGTCCTTGAATTCGATTGGTCCACACCCGAGACGCCTTTTCTTAGAGCCTAGTCTCCACTGGTGTTGGACCAGATGACACCATAAGGCGTACAACTCAAAAACAGCGCACTATCAGAGTATTGAGAGCTCGGGGTAAGCCTTTACATTATGAGACCTCCTTTGCCAGTAACAAGATATAGTAATAGGTTTTTACCCTTTTAGCTGGCACAAAACTGACACCTTTTATACAAGGGATCAAAACTGACAAGCAGGTCGTCTGGGGACAGACGACCTGCAAGGGTATTTCCCTGTCTTTCCCTGTCTGGGGACAGGGAAATACCCTTGATTGTCGATACCAGGTGAGTAGAATTTTGTACCGCAGAGGTGGTTTTTCCAGTGAAAGGCCGCAGGATTTCAGACAGAATACGAGCCAGTTTGTAGGTGGGGGAGTTGATAGTAGAGACGATGGGACGAAGGGGTGTATCTACTTTATGTATTTTTGGTAAGCCGTATAATCTTGGTGGCCTGGCAGCGGAAGGTTTCAACGAAAACTGTTTAGTTTGATCAATTAATGCGGTTGAATCAGAAATTATTTTGTTGGTTTGTGTGACGAGGCTGTTAGTGGCATCTTTTTATTTTTGTATAGCTGCCATCATCGAGTAATTCTTTAATTTTGTTGTTATATTCTATTTTATCCATGATGACAGTAGCATTGCCCTTGTCGGCTGAGAGGATTACAATGTCATCCCTCTTTTTTAATTTATATAATTCAAAACGCTCATCTTTGCTGAGGTTGCTAGCTGGCATCTTAGCGTTTTTGAGGGTTGCAGCGATTTCAGATCTTGCTACGTCTGCAGCGATGTGACCCAGGCCCTTGAGAGCAACGTCTACTTGGGCAATGATATCATTAACTGGTATGTGTTTAGGTGTGACTGCAAAGTTTAGACCTTTAGCTAAAACGGATTTCAGACCATCGGAAATAGAACTGCTACTGCGATTAATTACGACTTTGTTAACGTCTAGCTTTTTGGTGTGTGGGTCCAGTCTTTTGTTGGAGAGGAGGTTAAATTTGGAAATCAGGTTGTCCTTACATTTGGTCGACATAGTAGCAGCTGAAGAGGCAGTCATATTGTCTACATGT